AAAATTACATTTGAGCAAGGCTTGAAGGAGGGGAGAAAAATTCATGTATATGTCTGGGCAGAAAAAACAGGGTGTACCCTGAAGCAGGAATGTGGAGGAAGACAGTAGTAAGACATACATTCAGAGAGGGAACCATATCCTCTGGGGCCTCTAAGACCTTAATAATAACATTGACTCTTACTCTGAAGAAATGGGAATTTATTGTAGCCTCTTAAGCAATGGAAAAGAATGGCATTATCTTACTTAATTTTTAAGGATTTCTCTGGCTGTTGTGTTGAGAACAGGTTATGGCAGATCAAGCAAAGAAGCAGAGAAAACATTAAACTGAGTGCTAATGGAAGACCAGACCTGAATGCTAGCACTAGAAGTCATGAGAAATGTAATGATTCTTTTCTTTCTTCTTTTTTAGATTATTTATTTATTTTTGTGAGAAAGGGAGAGAGAGAGAGAAAGAGAGAAAGAATGCATGAGCAGGGGGAGGGGCAGAGGGAGAAGCAGACTCCCCACTGAGCAGGGAGCCTGACGGGGGACTCAAACCCAGGACCCTGGATTGTGACCTGAATCCAAGGCAGACGCTTAACCAACTGAGCCACCCAGGCACCTGAGATGTAGTAGGATTCTTGATACAATTTTAAGGTAAGCATAGCTCAAATTCTTAGTAAAACAGATATAGTGGGTAATTGGAAAATAGGACCCAAATGCTCTGTAGTTTTTTTGGTCTAAGCAACTGAAAAAAGTTGGATTTATCCTTAAAAAAACAAAATAACCATTGGATTTAGCAACATTAGAATCATTGATGACTTTGACCAAACCAATTTTTGCTACTACGGAAAGAGTAAAATCTTCCTGGAGTGGGTTTAAAAAATGAAGTGATGACATTGAATATTGTCCATGACTTTTGCTATAAATAGAACATAAATAACCGTGTAAAACTTGAGGTAAGGAGACATGAAATTAAAGTTTTGATTTGGTTTCTTCTTTTCATAAGATTGAGGAGATAAAATAGGTGCTCGTAGGGATGACCCAGTATACGGTAGAACACAGTGAAATAAAAGTGATGTTCTTGAAGGAAAGACCAGATGGAATTGACTCCATAAGGAGAAGGATTGCCTCCAGGTAGGAGCAGAGGCAGTTTATAGTCAAATGAGAGAAAGAAGAGAGCAGGATTTAGGGGTGCTAATGGCTGGATAAGGTAGATGTAATGGTGGGAATGTGGACATTTTTGTTTGTTGCTTCAATTTTTTCAATGAAACGGAAGCATGGTCCCTAACTCAGGTTAAAGATAAGGCAGAAGGAATTGGACATTTGAAAGAGAAAGTGAAACTTTGAAATAGTTGTCTCAAAGTGTGGAAATATATGTGTACTATGGAAACGTATGATTTTAGGGCAGCATTAAGGACTCAGTTGAAGTTTGTGGTTGTGAATTCAAAGTTAGACCAGTCACTGCCATAGATTGTCTGTGGGTCCGTGTGTCTTTCAGCTTCATGGGGTGAAATCTCAGTTGATTGTCTTCCCTAAGGCTGAAGGGACCAGCACTATTTATAGAAAGGCAGCTTCCTGTAACATAAGTGTACTTTCTCATATCCACCAGTTTACAAACATGTACAGGTCTCTCTTTAAGCTGTTATTTTTGTTCCAGTGGCCAATTTGTCCATGTCCATGTGAATAAATAATAAAATAATAAAAATAAATAAATGATAAAACCACACTGCCTTAGTTATTATATCCTGGTAGAGTAAGTCCCCTCAATAAAGTCCTGGGAACGTACTCTTTCATAGGTCTTACAGATTTAGCTTGTCAAGGTTCATTTTTGATAAGAAACTAGTCTGGCTGATCCTAAAGGTTCATCTGATTCGCCACTGAGATCACAAAGCAGAGAGCTGACTCAGCTGGACCAAGCCATTCTGTGGAGAAACAAAGCTTTTGACTTGGTTTTTCGAGCTGTTCTAGGGCTTTTGGTATGCGGACTATGGTCCTCTAGGTACACACAATTAGGGTTTCTACTGGGTTCTGAGATTCTTTGACACATTTCTTTTATTTAGAGAAAGAAGATGTTCTTTAGCCCCTCTTAGGCTAACCTACAAATATGGAACATGCAGTGGGAGTAGGGCTTGTTCTTTCTCAAGGAATCTCAACTGAGCAGTCCTCTCTCTTTTGGAGTCTATACTCAACTTATGTTGTGGAGCAATGGAAATTCAGGAGACTGCTTGTGACCCACTACTTCTCTGCTTGCAAATCTACTCCCAACCCCCCCAAAATCCCATGCTATATACATACTGTAAGGCACTAATAGTATTTGTCTGTGACTCCCTTGCCTGATAGTTGCCTCTTAACATGGGGCATGCTCCGGGTGCCTGGGTGGCTCAGTTGGTTAAGCGACTGCCTTCGGCTCAGGTCATGATCCTGGAGTCCTGGGATCGAGTCCCACATCCGGCTTCCTGCTCAGCAGGGGGTCTGCTTCTCCCTCTGACCCTCTTCCCTCTCGTGCTTTCTATCTCTCATTCTCTCTCTCTCTCTCAAATAAATAAATAAAATCTTAAAAAAAAAAAAACACAAAACATGGGGCATGCTCCACTTGTCCTGGTGCCATGTGCTTTTGGAAGCAGGAGTTTAATTGGACTAAATTGAAGTTTTCCCACCTCGAGGCAATGACAGGTCACCAGGAAGACCAGTTACAAGGTAGCCAGTAATCAAGACTGGGCAGGGTGTCCACCAACCCTGATCTTTCAGAGAAATTGCTGAGAATTCTACTCAATGTTTAGGAGGAGGCATGACAGTCATGGGGTCCACTAACTCGGCACCTAGCAAGACCTCAGAACTGCCTGATGCAGGCCCCAGAGAGAATGGAAAAGAGCAGAAGAGTTTGTTAGCCCCTAAAATCCCTAAAGCAAACAGGTCATTTGAAAAAGAACTGGATTTGTACAAATGAAAATCCCAGGTGTAAGATGGCTGGCAGCCACAGAAGATGAATCCAGGTCCTTTGGGATCTGGAGGAAAAGTGTAGAAAGGTAAATGCTCTAGGGCTGAAGGCCAAGAAATTGATGAAATAAGAGACAAGTGGATCTATAGCAGCCAAGCAAATAGGTTGATGCCAAAACCTAGATTGACACTCAAAAAATTAAAGAGGGGATAAGTGGGGATAAGAACCAGTTATAGGACTTGGTCCCCTACTTGCCTCCCAGGGGAAGACTCCAAGCATTCTTGAATTTGCAGATACCAGATTTGACGTGGTTATTATATTGGATTTTGCGTCTCAACTGTACTTCCGGTTTTTTTGCCAGTCTGTATAGTTAATTAACTAAAAATAAGAGAAACAGATTTTATTTAAATTCATTTCTTATTCTGACCTTTTTTCTTTATTTATGTAGATTCTAGCTTCTGATCTATATTTTTTTTTCTTTTGCCTAAGGAAAATCTTTTAACATTCCTTGTAAGGTAGGTCTATCAGTGATGGAAGCCCTCAATTTTTGTTTGTTTGAGAAAATGATTTCCTTTTCATTCTTGAAAGTCAATTTTGCTGGATATAGAATTCTAGGTCAGTAGATTGTTCTTTCAATATTTTATTTCATTCTACTCTCTTGCTTTTGTAGTTTCTGATGAAAAGATTTCCATAATTCTTATCCTTGTTCCTCTAATAGATAAGGGGATTTTCTCTGTATATTCTTTACGACTTTGTGTTTCTTGTGTCTTTGGTTTTCTGAAGTTTGACTGTGATATGCTTAGGAGTACTTTTTTTGGAATTTATTCTGCTTGGTGTTCTCTAAGCTTCCTGGATCTGTGGTTTGGAGTCTATCTTAATTTTTGAAAATCCTTGGCCATTAGTAGTTCAAGTATTTCTTCTGTTCCTTTCTATGTTTCTTCTCCTTCTGATATTCCAATTACACATACTTGACCCTTTTGGAATTTTTCCCTAGAGTTCCTAGAGGTTCTGTTCTGTTTTATTGTTATTATTATTTTCTCTTTGAATCTTAGTTTGGAAAGTTTCTGTTGACCTATTTACTACTCACTGTTTCTTTCCTTGGCCATGTTCAGTCTAAGGAGGAGACTAAACCGAAGGCAGTTTTTCATTTCAGTTACTGTGTTTCTGATTTCTAACATTTCCTTTGGATTCTTTCTCAGAATCTTTATCTCTTTGCTCCCATCTGTTTTTGCATGCTGCCTATTTTTTCCCATTGAAGCTCTTAACATAAAAAGAAAATGTTTGGAGGTATAGTTGACAAACCTTTAACATATTAATCATAGTTATTTTAAATATTCTGTCTGATAATTCCAACCACTGTGTCATAGCTGATGTTTGCTCTGTCTCTTCGGACTGTGTTTTTTGTTGTCTTTTCGTATATCTGGTAATTTTTTGTTGAATGCCACACAGGTTCTATCAGATGATAGGAACTGAGGTAAATAGGTGTCTACTGTGAGGATGTATGTGATCTGATTAGGAGCTGGGCTTTGTTTCATGTTTGCTGAAGCTAGAGGTGCCAGAGAATTCAAATTCCTCTAGTGTCCTTACTTTTGTCTCCTTTCTGGACTCTCAGCTTCCCTACATACTCTTCCTCAGAAAAAGTCTGTGTCTTGCCGCTTTTTCATCTGTAAACAGCAGGAGCCCTGTTGGTATGGTGGTAAGGTATGGAGGAGAGAGGGGGCATTCTGTAGTCTTCCAATTAAATTTCATTCTTACAGTGGGCCTGGCTCTTGGGCCTGTGATCTGCACAGGAGGGTTTTTTTTTTTTTTTTTCTCAAATCTTCCCCATTAAGGTGAGACAGGAAGGGTAGATGGGCCTGGAGTGAGAGGAATGTCTTTTTCCCCAGGACTCTGGAACAAGATTCTGGTAGTCTTTTCTCTGGAGAGTGGGCCTTTGTTATGGAAAAGGCTCGGCATATTTCAGAAGGCCTGCTCTCCCTCTTCTTCTGTAAATCCACGAGGGAAATCTTTCTCGGCTCTTCATTGTGAGAATCTGGTGTTCCTCAAAGTAAAGCCCACAAAAATGCAGGGGTTCCCTTACAGGACTGTAGCCACAGGAGTTTCTCATTCCCACGGTAGGCCATACTTAGTCTCCAGCAATTTGTCAAAATTATCATTTAAATCTAACCGGTTATGGCTCCGGTGACTTCTGGTCTGGATGAACAGATCTGGGCCATGCCTGTCTAGATTTACCCCCCACCAGATGTCAGGGAGGTGGTTCGTCTGCAAACCCAGTTCTCTGCTGGGTTCCAGAAATCATTGCTTTTCAATTTGTCCCACTTTTTCTTCTTGTAAGGGTAGAAGTTAGGACTCCTTGAAGCTGAGAGTTCTCTATATTGTTGACATGAACATTTCAACTGCTCAAACGTACGGGCATTTTATTTGGATGTAATCATTGGTGACCCCTGTCCCTGGCTTATAAAAAAGTCAGAAGAATAGTGACTGGGTGTTTTTCCAACTTCATTATTTTCTGTTATCTTTATTATTTGCCTCCTACTTTTGTTGGATTTATTATTGTTCTACTTTTAACTCTGTAAGATAGATATCTAATGAATTTTAAGCTTGTTAACTTTTACACTTTTTTTTTTTTTAATATAAGAATTTTAAGGGATGCCTGGGTGGCTCGGTCGGTTAAGCGTCTGCCTTGGGCTCAGGTCATGATCCCAGGGTCCTGGGATTGAGTCCCCCATCGGACTCCCTGCTCCGCGGGAAGTCTGCTTCTCCCTCTCTCTGCCGTCTGCTCATGCTCACGCTCTCTGTCTCTCAAATAAATAAATAAAATCTTAAAAAAAAAAGGCTTTAGGCTATTTGCCTCTGTTTTGCTTCAACCCAAAACTTTGAGTTAAGATACCTAGTATTTCCATTATTCGCTATTTCTATGTATTGCCTAATTTCCATAGTGATTTAGTCTATGATCTGTGAGTTGTACGTTTGTTTTTGTATTTCCAAATGCAGTTTTATTCTAGTCATCTTTGGTTATTGTCGTCTTCCTTAAGGTACTGTCACCAGACACTGAAATCCCTATGATAGCAATTATTTGTAAGTTTTAAAAACTACTCATGTGACAAGGCACATCATCACTTTTCATAAATATTTTATATGTGCTTGAAAAATGTGCATTCTTCAACTGTTATGGTTCAATATTCTATACACATTAGTTCTAAGTTGGTAATGGTGCTGATCAAACCCTTCACATTGCTTGCTATTTTAAAAATGTTAATTTCGTGAACTGCTGAGAGCTCTGATGACATAACACCGTGACATTTGTCAATCTCTCCTTGTAGGTGGATTATTTCACTTTCTTCTCTCTCTTTCCGCCTCGTCCTTTCCTTTCTCCCTCTCTCCTCTGTTGTTAGGTAGACACAATTTGAAACTTACAAGAGACTGTGAAATTGAACATTTTGCCATTATGCACTGATG